TTTTTAATCTTCAATAGAATTGACTTATGAGAGCTAATTCATCTCAATTGATGTGATAAGCCAATTATCTAAAACCAAATACATAAATTAATATAAAGCATGATTCTTGATATGATAAAAAAATCTTTGTCGTTGGCTATCAAGCCTTGTGATGTTCTCCAAATGCCTCCACAAATGCTTCTAAAAAAGCTTCGAAGTTCATTAAGATTAAAGATTTCTTTTCAAATAAAGAAGCAAACCAAAATAAGGCTTGTCTTGTGAGCAATGTTCCAACTAAATCAACTCATGATTCTTCTATTGGATAGCTCTCAAGTTGTAAAAAAGTTATCAATTAAATTTTATTAATAAACCTTCAAAACTTAGAATATGTGCCATCAAACTTTTTTAGAAGGCTAATCTATAGCTCTTTACATTATTGAATAGGTAATTTTTTTTATTGAGATATAGGTGCCACTACTTCTTTGGATATAGAAGCTTAAGAAAGTGGTTGCATTACAGACTAAACTACTCTAGGTCTTACATCACCATAAAATATTACAAAATATTTTTTAATTTTAACAATTTTATAAAATAAAGCATTCACCATGTTTATAATAACATCTAACTTGGACTTGAGAGATTCAACTATATTAAAATCTATATCTTCAACCATCTTGAAAGAAAAATAAAAATAAATAAATAAATAAATAAATAATACCAATTTAGAAGATGGTACTCCACAATCTCTAAAGTCTTTAAATGCTTTCAAAAAGAGTGGTAATCCATTCTCTATCAAAAAGGATCAAGCTCCAATATTGATAAGAGGGTAGTTTCAACAAACTATCATAGATATATTATATAAGAAATCAAACAAGAAATTGAACAAAGTTTTAAAAAAAAGCTAGTAAGAACTTAATTAAACTAGATGAATATAAGATCAACATCAAGAGAAGTGAGTTAAAGCTTCAAAAGATGTATTGTCAAGACTGAAGATTTCTTTAGCCTTGACTCCAATATATACTGGGTATTAAGAAGCTTTTTGAAAAAATTCCATCTTTCTTGGAAACAAAGCAACCTTAAGAAGCTTCTTGAGAAGTTTTCATATTGCTTGGAGACAAAGAAACCATAGGAAGCTTCTTAAATAACTTCTTTAATCTTCTTAAAACTTTCTAAAATTTGTTAGAATATTTTGAAAGCCTTTTAAAATATTCTAAAAAACTTTTTAGAAACTTCTATTAAAATATTTTAAAAAAAACTTTTAGAACCTCCTATCAACATATTTTAAGAATCTTATAGAATTTTTTAGAATCTAATAGAATATTATAAAATTATTTTTTAAATATTTTTATTGGATGTTTATAATATATGTTGCACTAATAGAGAAAGATTATATTGTGTATAAATTAAAGAATTGAGTTGAAGCTTGTATTATTTAATAAATATCTTTTTTCTTTATCAAACCAAAAGAATCCAAAATATTTATAAAAAGAATATAAACAAATATTGTAAGTTTTAAATATACATTTTAAAGTTATATAAGATTTTTTAAAATATCAATTATTTATTTTTAAATTATAAAAAAATCAAATGAATTATAAAAAATAATTCTCATTTTCTTAAGAAATTAAAGCTATATTATTCATCATATCATAAATTTAAAGTTTATCTTTGCCACAATAAAATTGAATTCATAATACTATATAAATATGTTATGATAACATTAATATCAATAAGTTCATGGGATTCTTTATTATATAACAAATTATAACTGACAACAATAATATTAAAAAAAATTAAAATTTGTAAAAAAAATTAAAATAAATAATTACTGTTTTTCTAATAAAGTAATAAATTAATTTTTTTGTATTTATTTTAATACTATTAAATATTTTTAAAAATATAGATAAATGTAATAATTAATATTCATTAATTAATGACTAATATAATATATGTAAATAAATAAGCTAGATTTAAATCGGAATAATTAAAAATAATTAAAATTTCTAAAATAATTAATAAAATATTATTCGTAAAAATTAATTTAAATTTAGTATAAACTATAAGAATAAAAAACAATAAAATTTCAAAGCCAAAAAATAAGAATGGAAACTAGTACCAAAAAATAATGAAGAAAAGAAGAAAAAAAATCACTTGATTTAAAATAAAATTAATAATAAAGAGAAAAGTAGAAATACTATCATTTATTAAATAAAAAAAGAGTGATAATAATCTTCTATTAAGTTTAAGATTAGTATTGCCAATGTTTAGAAATTTAGAGCAGTCGTGACCAATAGATAAAAAAATTAGTGCAATTAATGCAAAGATCATATGTAATGAAACAAACATAATTAAAAATATAAAAAAAGCTAAGGCTAGAAAGAATAACATAGAGATAAAACAATATAACAATAGAAATACAAAAACAAAAACATAAATAAATTTATAGAAATAAAAAAGAATCGTGTCCTTAAATTTAAATAAAATAAATCTTATATTATTTGGTCACTATATTAGGATTTTTAAAGATAAAATTATTTTTTTCTTTTATCTTTTTCATCCTCTTCTTCTCCCATTGGTGTTGAATACACACCTACTTAAAATGAAGTGGGAGAGGCAAATAGAGATTAGTCTACTGTAACTACCTACTTGGACAAGTCTTTTCTTATTCAACAAAGATGCCAATCTATTTTAGAGATAGTTTTCTGAAATTATAAAAGATCTTGATTGAAAATTTATTTGTACTAAAACAGTTTGAAATTTACTTAATTTTAAAATTAAAACAGATGAAAATATGTATAAAAATTAATATATCTAAAATGAGTAAAAGAAATATATCTATTTATTTATTATATATATATAATTATCATTATTAATTATGATAATACATTTTTAATATCCTATTAAAATTTTAAAATAAGATCACATATATATATATATATATATATATATATATATATAGAGAGAGAGAGAGAGAGAGAGAGAGAGAGAGACAAAAAATTATAAAAAATTAAAAACCAGTATTTATTATAAAATTCTAACTATATTTTAAATTTTTATCAAGTTTCAAACTCTCAGCAGGGTAAAGTTTTAACAATTCCCAACAATCCAAAATTTTCTAAAACTTCAGTGGTATTTGCAATTTTAGCAAGTTTTTAAATCTTGTAACTAAGAGTAAGAATGACCTCATTTAAACAGAATAGAAGATTAAAATCAATAGCATGGAAAAACTCAGTGGTGACGATCACACCGCATGGTGGATCCAACCCACTCATTTATAAACCAAAGACGAGTAAGGAAAACAGTGGCAGGTATGAAAGCGGAGTCCATATCCATTCATGAAGCGGTTGAAACAATCACAAAACCACATTCCACAGCACGCTCAGTTGCTAAATGGGAAGACAAAAGTTATTGAGCTGCTGCATCAAGAGTAGAATTATCAGAATGGGCAGGAACACGTGAAGAAAAGATGCAATTGTGCATTAATATTTATTCAGAATGAGCAATAAATGCATGAAAGAAGGACGTCATTTTGTGCATGGGAAGTGGGAGGGTCCGGAGTGAGGAGATCAGATGCTCATCCTCATCATCTCCTTTCGGTATTCGCTGATTGCTTTGTTGTCTTTTCCACACTCCCGTTTGGGCTCCGTTGCTGCAAGTTGTTGGAGCTGCTAGAAGTTGATTCCATCCCCCACCATCACATGCTGGAACAAACATCATTCCATTACTTGCTGCTGTTGTTGTTTCCCACCAATCGAAGCAGCTACATTTCGACTGTAGCAAGTATTTTCTAGTGTCCACGAGGTTGATGCTACGTTTGAGACTTTCTAGAAATGGGAGTTTTGTCATAATGTTCTTCTGTTCCTCACAGAGGAGCTAGTAGTAACGTCAGCTGGGATTTCATGAAACTGTTGTTTTGTTCATTTATTTTCAATTTGATCAAACATTTAGGCGACGATTGTGTTGCTGAAATGTTGCTACTAGAAACAGGTAAAATTGGTTGATTCTTGGCGAAGATGAGGTCGTTGGCTTTGAGTTTGTGGCATTATGTGGCCTGGAATCAAGGAGTTTCTATCTGACTTATTGGTACAAGGATGGTGTTTACATAATCCGGGGGGTATTCTCGCCTCTCGGAACCTGATCTGTTTGTCAGAAGCTTGTCATACTTCTGGGGATGAATCGATAGAAGTTTCAGGCGGAACAATTTATGCGCGTGCTCAGCATTGCTTCGCGCCTTGATGGAGGATGGGTTTACAACTAATTGCCGCTCTGAACGCATCGGTCACCACAAGCCTCGTGTAATCCAAGCTCATCGATCCTCGACCAAGGGTGGGTTGAGCGGTTGATATTCGGAATTGATTCTTTTCTACCAATCTCATTTTTATCCCACCAGCATTTTCAGAACTGTTGGCCAGAGAGGGTTGTTTTTTGTTTTTTGTTTTTTTTGGCAAATACTGTAACCATGAAAATTCTTGTACAGTTTTTCTATTTATCTTTTGTGACTTCGAGAACTGACTCCTCACACACTGTGGAACTTCAGTGGGAAGCTTTCAATTTTTAACCAGTTTTTCAGCACTTGTTGAAGGTTGGCGTGTAATGAAATCTGAGAGTGGACGTTTCATCATCAAAAAATGTGCATTTCATTTTCACTTTCGTAGGTTGTATATGGGTATAACGTCTAGCCCAGAAAGGGTTCACGTGCAAATCACGAAACCTGGGCCGCCGTTTGCTGGGTTCCGGCAACGCGTTGGTATGCCGGCAACTCTGCCGGTGCCCCTCCCCCCTTCCTTTTTAATTATTTTTTCTATTAATTTCTTTTCTCTCATTCGCCTGGACACTGAAAGGAATAGAGTAGGTGATTCCAGGTTTGGCCAATACTCTAGCCTGGTGGTAGGGTGGAGGCATCACAGTGACCAGGCAGGTCAAGTCACTCTGCTCGTGTCAACTGCTGGGTCCGCTCCCTGCCGTCACCTAACGCGTGATTGTGTCGTTTACATATGCGAGCTTCATGCTTCAGTACTTGTGGAGATTCGCGGTTCTTGTGCTCGACAGTTGTGCCGAAGGTTATTCTGTTTCCAGTCCTCCTTGAAATTGTGTGTAAGGGGGTTGCGGGCTAAAGCGTCGAGTTTTGGGTGTGAAGATCCTGTTGTGCGTTTGGTTGCCTTGCGGTGTTGCTGATCGAAGAATATGGATCCTAACAACCCCTACAATTACCCCTACCCTCATCAACCTGGCAACAATCCTTATTCCCCTCACAATCCTGGTGAGCCTTACCCTGCTCACAATCTTGGCGAGCCTTACCCTGCTCACAATCCTGGCGAATCTCACCCCCCTCATAATCCCAGCGGAGATAAGGTTCGTCGGGTTTATACTTCTGTAATGCCCTCGATTTGGTTATTCTGCTGTCGCATAATGGGAGTTTTCAGTTCTGTTTTGCTTAGCAACTTCCTATGTATGAATATTTCGTAATCCACAGTGTTTTAAGGTCAGTTGTGTCTAAGTGTTTGGCATCATCTAAAGCATGCAGTGCCGCAGTTTGCTGTTTCTGAGGTTAATGTTTTAGGTATTGATTTCTGCTTCCGATTGAGTCAATGGTTATCCATGTGTCTGATTTATTTATTTATTTAACTTTCCTGTAATTCTTCCTTTTGCTTTTTCCTGTTTTGCTAACTCGTATCTGTCCAGACCCACTTGCTACTCTCTTTGTGTGATCACGGGCAAGGAGAAATCGACCGGGTCATCTGTAGTTTTTAGGCTTCTTCCTACTGTTCGTATATGATCCCTCGACCCTTGTTGAAGATTCTTTGTACTGACGTTTTGCATTTCAATCTACAGAACCAAGATAAAGGTAATTACGGCTCGTCTCAGCAATATGGACATGGACACCATGGAGGCTATCCGCCTCAACAGGGGTACCCACCGCAAGGGTACCCTCCGCAGGGTGGCCATGCCTACCCCCCTGGTGCTCCTGCTGGGTACCCACCTGCAGGATATCCTCCTGCAGGCTATCCGCCTTCAGGCTATCCGCCTTCAGGCTATCCGCCTTCAGGCTATCCGCCTTCAGGCTATCCTCGTGCACATGATTCCCATGGATCATCTTCTCATGCAGTTGGTACTTACCCACACTTCACTGATCTCCATTCAATGTTTCCGTCGCTAAGTTTGATGAATGAGTAGCACGCAATAATGTGTATAAGAGTGCTTGCACATTGTTAATTATGTTTATTATGGTTTTAAAGTTAATACGTACTGCAATAAAAAGTATTTCGTAAATGGTAGTCATGATATTAGGGTTTAATTGAACCTGAACTCGCGTCCCACTGTAATTTAGCCCTTCCCAGTATTTACCTCTGTCGTTTCTAAGCAGTGTAGATGTTCATTCTTAGAAAAGAGATTGTCGTTATGGTGGCATTGTATTTTACGATATTTGATTACAGTCGATATGTATCCCAGGTCACTTTCTAAACTAATGTCCTCCTAGCAGCAATAGGAATAGGCATGGCTGTAATGCGACATCTGGTAATCAGTAGATGTTCCTATCTAGGGTTATACATTCCTGAAGGAAGGAACGTGTTTGAATTCACATTTATACATTCCAGAATTTGTTTGCTTGTTTAGGTTTCTAAGAAATCAGGGCTTGAATTTGTTACTTGTTATGTTCTGGTAGTTTATCTGCTTATCTTTGGTAGTCAGTTTGTCTTTGAATTTTCAGCCAACTGGATGTTTTGAAAGTTTCTCTTTATTTTTTTATTTATTTTTTATTTTTTCGAATTTGGTTGAATTCTCCTCAACCATTGTGTCCAAAGGCCTGGATCTAACTCTAGTTGTTATCTGCAGGTGGTATGGCGGCTGGAGCTGCAGCATTGGCAGGTGCATATGGTGTTTACAAGGCAGGTTCAGCTGCACATGGTGTAGTCGACTACAGTGACCGGAAATTTAAGGGTGGCAAAATCGGCAAGAGAATTATGCCTGGGAAGATCGGCTTCAAGCCTGGAAAGATCGGATTTGGAAAAGTCGGGAAGTTTGGGAAGATTGGGAAGTTCGGGAAGATTGGGAAGTTCGGGAAGATTGGGAAGTTTGGAAAGATTGGAAAGGGATTTGGAAAGTTTGGAAAGAAATGGAAATAGATGAGGTTTCTCTCTTTTCACTGGACAAGGCTACTAGTTATGTACATTAAAAGGGTGGCAACTACATGTGCAATACAGTACAACACCTGTTCTGAATATTCTTCACAACCAACTTTTGTATGATGCTCATATCAGAACTTGATGTTGTGGTTTAGATTGTCGACAGTGGCAGCCATTAGCGCCGCCCACATTGTTTAAGGACCATCTAAACTTTTTGTCTAATTTTTTAAGAATCTTAGTGTTGAAGAACTTCAATCTGTCTGCAGCTTTCTTCAATTTGCTTGTTTTGTAGCAGCTCATGATCTCTTGCATGAAAGCAGATGATTGTTCTAAACTACCGTCTTTCTAATCGTCTTTGTAAGCGCCTTTGAAATCAGCTAAGCTCTTAGCTAATTTCGTTGAACCATTATGAAACAGCTGCACGTCGGAATGAATTGTATCCAATTTTTGAAGCTGTGATGTCTACAATGAGATGCTCTTACCTGCTTCATTTATGTTCATTTCAGGACTGTGCCTCATATTTAACTTTTACTGCTATTGAACGGGCATCCAAGCCCCAAAACCATCTTCTACATTGCAGCACGAGAGGCTAATAATAACTTCTTTCTTGCTTTGAACTGCACGCTTGCATTTGTAGAATTGTGCAATTCTGTGGGTTGGAGCCTCGTCCATTTATCCAAGTGATGTGGGAGTGAGCATGCAGTCAATGACCAGTTTTATTATTATGTATCTGTATGTCACGTTTGTGTCCAGTAAATCTAAAACTATCAATTGTTGTCTTACACACAAGAATTCTCCCCATGTTGTACAATGTACTATCTGATGATAACTTCAAGTTTTTTCTTGTTCATGTACTGCACATTCATGGCATGCCTAAAGAGAATATTGCATGGTGCATTAGTGTCCATGTTCAGCAGATACTTGAGGTTCAGTGTATTAAAATTTAGTTGAACTTTGTGGGTTTAGATTGGAACAGTTGTGCATGAATATTATGTCAACAAGTAGGAAGCTGCAGGAAGCAAATGAACTATCTCTTCATTAAATTTTATTTCAAACAACCAAATACAAAAGGAGATCTTGTGTGATATGAAACTAGATATTTTTTTGTATTGGCGTGTATGTATGTTATACATACATGTGTGAGTGTGTATGTGAATATATATATATATATATATATATATCACTCAAATACTCAAAAAATATAAATACTTATCAAGTATAGAGTTAAAAGTTATAGATGATATAATCTTAGTAATATGTATTTGAGCATTATCAAAAATATTTTTTATATTTTGTGTATTAGTAAATGATAAAGAAGATTGTTGAATAAATGTAAAAAAACTGATTTATGTTAAATTCAATGAAAGAAATATTGAAGTGTTTTTGGATTAAATTCAATAAAGAGATTCATTAATAAAACTAAAAAAATATTAGTAGACATTTACATATTTAGTTTAAAAATTGTGTAAAAAATTATATTATCAAAATTAATAGTTTGAGCAAAAACTACTTAGAATGAATTTGAAGCTAAATAAAAAATTTTAATTCTAGGAATATCCATTTTTTTAAAATACTAAAGATTTTTAAATGTATTTAAAATACTACTAATAGATAATATTTGATATAAAAAATTACATTAAATAATAGTTAAAATATTATTTTTTAAACTTGTAATTTTTACATAAAAATATTAATTTATTTAGAATCTTTTTACATACTATATATATATATATATATATATATATATATATATACATATATTAATGTGTACTAAAAATTCATATAAAAGCTCAATAAACTATTTTTTCATGCAGAAATAAACCTTTTAAATTAATTTTTTTAATAAACTTCTAAAAGATTAGACTTTTTTATTTTATAAATAATAAATATATATATAAATATATATAAATATATATCATATTTCATTTTTTTAATTTGATATAACTATTAATTCACATATAAATTTTACAAGACATACTAAAGCATCTTATCAAAAATAATTATCAAAAATAGTTTTCATAAATATTTCATATTTATTTAATTAAAATCTCTATTTTTCTCTTCTTATATACATAGGCTTAAGCTACAAGCACATTCCAAATTATTATATGCATGCCCATCATATCTATACATACATCCAAGGCTTTTGATTGATTCATCTAGATTTTATTTTTTTTATTCTAATGTAGGTCCTAGTCCTCTTCTTTTTCTTTCTTGCCTCAATATGAGTATCAACCTCTTTTTCTTTCTTTGCCTTAGAGTGAATATCCTCTCTTCTTTTCTTAGTATAGTTCTTGATCCTCTCTTTGTCTTCCTTAACAAGATACAAGTCTTAATCATCTTATCTTTGATCATCTTAATCATATATATAGTATGATTTTTCAAAAGAATTGTTGCCAAAATTTCCTTTATTGTAAATTTTTAGCTAGGCTAAGGTTGCTGCAATTCATCATAGAACTTCAGGATATGCTGGAAGATAGTAGTATATCTGCAAAGCACAAATGAAGAGATGTGGTGCCAAAGTTCCTTGAAGGAAAACTACTAGTAATCAATTATAAGATAATCATAGCCAAAATGAAACTTAAATATGTACGGTTTACCACTCATGTTCTGAACTAACATTCCACACTCTTTATAACTACTATCTCTTGCCTTGTGCTTCTTCCATGAATACTCTTAATTTTCTATTGAAAGGTGTTATTTCTTTCAAAAGAAGTGGAATTTGTTGTAGCAATAATCTTCTATATGAATTAGAGTCATTTGGTGGTTACAATACAATTTTCAATCTTAGACAAGTAGAAAGAGGAGACAATTGACAATACTTGCCTAATTTATTGGTGGTCAAAACATTGAGTACCAACATGCCCCTGGATTATTTAAAACATTAAGATTTAAAAGAAATTGCAATAGTTGTGGGAAAAAAATAGTAGTGGCACTTTATATTCAATTTCTTAACTCTAATTTTTAATTTGAAGGTAGTATGTCCAAGGCCTATCTTTCATCTATGCTTTCATTATTATAGCCAATAATTTCAAGCCACATGAATTTAATAGCTTCAACTTCATAACTTGTTATGTCCAAAATTGGGGTGGCAATTGAAGATGCAAAAATTCTTTTAACTTTAAATATGTATCAAGATAGGTAGCTTAAAAAAATATTTGTCACAAATTTATGTATTTATTCCAATAATTATCTATATGATTTGATAGAAGTAGATAAAAATAGATTAATTTTATAATATCTTCTAGAAAAGCTTTCTAAAAGCTTTACAAACAATGCTTTGATTTTACAAGTGTTTGTAGTTAATTGATAGGCTAGAAACTTGGTCAACAAGTTATTTACATATCACATGTATAAATAGCTTATAAAACAAACTAATTAAGTGGCTCATTTATAGATTACTTACTTTGTAAGTTAAGTCATATATCTAACAAAGTCAATACATGTTAGAGATCATATAGCATATTGTTACACAACTCTTAATTAGAGAATATATATAGAAACAAGAGTAAAGCCTTCTTCACACTTGTCAATACATTTTTAGTCCTTAGTCTTATTTTAAGACTTTCGAGTCTTTTTTTCTTTGCCAATAGTCATTTTAATTTAATATAATATTATCTTTGAATAATTTTTTAGTCTTTTCAAGTCACATAAGAGTATATTGAGATTTTTTTTTTTGAGTTTTATGTCCTAAAAAATTTGATAAGAATGTTAATTTATTGTTCTTGTCTTTTTTTAAAAGTGAGTAGATTACCTCACTTCTATTATTGTATTTTGAAGGTTACAGACTACCTATCTTTAAACAAACAATGTAGCATTCTAATAATGATTTTTTTCTTAAAGAGAGTGGATTACCTTTCTTTACAAAAATTTTTATTTCATATTAGAGGTTAAAATTATTCTCTTCTTATTTAATCTTTTGAATTTATTTGAATTGTCTATAGAAGAAAAGATTATAGATATTATTTTTAGTAAAAAAGAGAATAAATTTATAACTATTGTAAATCTTCGTGACCTTATTAAATTTTTAAGAGTAGAAATCTCACATATTTCTAATGTGAATCATAGAGATACTATTCTTATAAATAGAAAAAATCTAAAATCTACATGAAGAAGTTTTGCAATCAAAGGAAGCTAGTAGATCAACTTCACAATCAAATCTAAAAAATCTTACTTCTAGAAGCACAAACGGGACAAGGATTAATATGCCCAAGAAGTTTGATGGAATAAGACCAAAATTTTGAAGATTTTTATAACAAGTTAAGATCTATTTGAGGTTGTATTTTTTCCTATATTTGAATAGATTTACTCAAGTTGGATTCATAGAGACACTTCTATTGGAAAGTGCTCTCTCTTGGTTTGTACTTTTGATGGAAAAAAAATTCATGACTACTCTATAACTTGAATTCATTTTTGGAGGTATTTATGGCTATATTTGAAAAAAATGATCAAAAAAAGTAATAGAAACCAAGTTCATAACTGTCATGAACATACACATGTAAATCAATAATTATCTATATTATTTAGATAAAAGTAGGTTAATTCCATAATATCTTCTATAGAAGCTTTTGAAAAGCTTTATAGATGCTGCTTTGACTTCATATATATCTATAATTGACTTTTTAGCTTAGAAACATAGTCAACAAGTTGGCCATAAGCCACACATGTTGATAGCTTGAAAAATAAGTTAACTATGTGGTCCACACGTAGAAAACTTGCCTTGTAAGCTAAACTATGTATCTTACAAAGTCAACTTATATTAGACATCCTATAGAATATTGCCACATAACTCCTAGTTAGATAGTATATATAGAGGCAAGAATGAAGCTCTTTTCATTCTTGTCAACTCTTTTCTTGCTTCTAGTTTAGATTTAAGAGTTTTTAGTTTCCTTGTCTTTTGGCAATAGCTATTTCACTTTTTTTTTAATATACATACTACTTTATTACTATTTTATGATTTTTCTTTTAACACAAATTTTTCAAGTTTATACATCTTCTTATAATTCATGTCCTTGATAATATCACTACTACAAAGATTACTTTCAACTACCACATATGCTACTAAATTCCAAAATCTTGGTTATGAAGTAGATTAAAATGATAAAAATCTTATCAATTAGTTTTGATAAAGATTAAAAGATAATATCAAAGATTTATTTTTGAAAATGCTAAGAATAAATTTATTAAAGTAATTTATTATTCAAATCATTTCATGTGACAATTGACTCTTTGAAAGATACTAAGAACAAAGATTT